TTTTGTATGTTTTGGAAACAATGCGTCCAGATTTCTTTTGTATGTTTTGGAAACAGTGCGCCGAAAAGTGGTTTTTCGGCGCACTGTTTCCAAAACATACTTTTCGGCGCACTGTTTCCAAAACATACAAAAGAAATCTGGACGCACTGTTTCCAGATTTCTTTTGTATGTTTTGGAAACTGTTCAATGGTGTGCTCACAATGAAGGATTTGAAGAAAAATTGATCATCTCTGCTTGGGGACTGGGTCCGTAATACAAAAAGATTTTATTTATTAAAAAAGATATCGAGGAAAAAAAAGAAGAAAAAAACAAAAACGAACAGTAGATGTTCTGGAAACCAGTACGTGCAGCTTTGTTGTAGATTTTGTCCTTTTTTCAAGATTTTTACGGTATGCATGCAATCAAGGATTTGAAAAAATCTTGCTCATCTCTGCTCGGGCACTGGGCCCGTAATGAAAAGGTTTTATTAAAAAAAAAATCGAGGAAAAGAACAGAAAAAAAAAAGAAAACGAAGAGTGTATGATTTGGAAACAGTCCGCGCAGCTTTGTTGTAGATTGTCTTTTTTTTTTCAGATTTTTATGGTATGCACGTAATAAAGGATTTGAAAAAAAAATCTTGAATCCCTCCAAATTCATCTCTGCTTGGGCACTGGGACCGTAATAAAAAGGTTTTATTAAAAAATATCTAGGAAAATTCTTACGCCGCCCGGTCGTGCCCGCCCGGGGGTACCCGGGCATGCGCCAGGGGGGGGGGGGAATTATTATTATTATTATTATTATTTTTGGGTTATCTGCGCTCTCCCAGAGGACCCCAAATCCGGGCTCATTTCTTTTTTTGCGAGTTGGCTGTCAAGGGGGGGAAAGGGGGTACAAATTGGTTTGAAAGGGGCTAAAGGGGAGGTGCCTTAGTGTAATTCTGTTATTTTCTTTTTTATCTCCGATTCTGTGAGGAATTTCAATGTGACCCTCAGCCAAAAGTCGTTTGTGTTGCAATTCTACACAACATTTTTTTTTTCCGGCTTTTTTTTTTTTTTTTTTTTGGGCGTCGGGGCTGCACGGAATCTCTATTTTTTAATTATATTATAGTCTCTTATAAAGTTAAAAAGTTATAAACCACTCCCGCACCTGATACCCTGCCTCTACAACAACCTGGGCGTTAAAAAAATAAAATAAAAAAAGAAAAAAAAAGAACTAAAAGCAAAAAAATTACTAATTTGTAATTAGTAAATTACTAATGATTCATTATGAACCACTCCCGCACCTGGGGCGTGGTCCCACTAGCAAAGAGGATCGGATGGAATGCCTGAATCTGGACGAGATTATGAACATGTGCAGGAAATCGAGATTGAACTGCTTTTCTGCATCTCTGCATAAAACACATCCAGATTCAAGATCTCGATCCTATCCTTTTTGCTAGTGGGACCTCGGCCCTGCCTCTACAACAACCTGGGCGTAAAAAATAAAAATAAAAAAATAAAATAAAATATAAAAAACAAAAAACAACAAAATTACTAATTAGTAAATTACTAATAATTTATTATTCCGTAATGACCACGATCCTGAAAGTGCCAGAAGCGTCCAGAACAATGGTGAAAATACGTGTTTTTTTTTTTTTTTTTTTTTTTTTGAATTCTCGTTTTGAATCTGGTCCTTTTCTCTTAGTATGTGCGTGTCCGGATGACTGGGATGCAAGAAGGGGGCTGGTTTTCTTCTCTTCCTCCCCCCCCCACCACCCACCCCCACCCCCGCTTTTCCCCTTTTTTCTTTTTTCTTTTGTCTTTTACTTTTCAAGTGGAATGTCTTGCAGGTCGGTCATAAGGTTGGTAATTGAAGCCCGGTTGGTGATGTACAGGGCATGCAATTGCGACTATGTACATCGCAGCTGTATTATGCGTGATCTTCACTGTATATTATGTATATTCGCGAAGATGGAGGACACCAGGAGGACAAGAAAGCGGACAAAGAAGTCGGGATCTGGATCTGACAGAGACGGACAGCCAGGAGGACGGGGATCTGGATGGAGGGAAGGAATCAACAGAAGATCTTAGCAAGATGTTGATGGGAGGGAAGCTTGACCCTGGGGCACACAGGACTGCTAACTTGCTGGCGGCGCCGCTGGGCTCCGCGTTCGCCACGGTCTTGGCGGAGGTAAGTACGGTTTTCTTCTCTTTTTTTTGTGTTATTATGTTTGTGTGTGAGGGACTGCGCTCCCACACACACACACACACACACATACACAGAGAGAGAGAGAGAGAGGTGATGGTAGGTGGTACACCATCGTGCTTAAAGTGAGA